CAGGAACAGTTTCTTCCCTCAGGCAATCCATCTCATGAGCACTTGACAATAACTGTGGAACACACACTATTTATACACTCATACACTTATTTATCTAACACACATACTTAGTCTACACCTCAAATTTGCACATGATATACCTGTACATACAAAACTGTCTATTGTAATATACCTGCACATACAATTGTCAATTTATATATTGTTATTCCTTATTTACTTGTTCTATTTTTTATTTGTTTTATTCTTTTATTATCTGTGTTTTTTGTTCTGTCGCTGTCATTCTGTTGCACTGCGGAAGCTTCTGTCATGAAAACAAATTCCTCGTATGTGAAAACATACCTGGCAATAAAGTTCATTCTGATTCTGATTCTGATTCTGAAGAGAGACCACGTACCCTGGCCCGCGCCTATGAGATTGCACACAGGTATGAAACCACACGTCAAACAGCCACTAGTGTAACGCAACTTATGCAATCTGCCGTGAGACCAATGGAACGAAGGACTAGAGCAGCAGCAGTACGTGAATGTCCGGACCAGGGTGGAAGTGACGAGGAAAGTTCGGTGCCGTCAACCCCCGAGTGGAGACAGAAAAATTCAAAAGCAGAATTCAAACCTCATATGCAAAAATTCAACAAGAGGAGTAAAATCAATTGGGAAAATATTGTCTGTCACAACTGCCAAGGCATTGGTCACATGAGGCGGAACTGTCCTTCACCCAGGCTCAACCTGGAACGTGTGACTCCACCACTTCCTGGGCCTACAGAGTAGAGGTCTACACAGGTCCAAAAATTCAGGTACCCGAACCCGAAGAGACCCGTAAATGTGCTACACTGAACCGACCCAGACCCGTCTATTATTTTGAAAGTTGGACCCGGGCCCGTGCCCGTGCAGAACCGAGAAATGTCAAAAATGTACTAACCGGAACCGACGCGGACCGTCAATTATTTGAAAGATGGACCCAAACCTGGCCGGGAAGACAGACCCGACTGGACCCGATCTGTACATATTCCACAGCAAATTGCTATTAACAAGTCGATAAACTCAGGAGGGCGAATGGGGGCTGCACACACGAGATGACGAGTGTGAGAGAGTCATTACTGCCATAGATCAGCTGCTAACGCTCGGTATGACAAATGCACACAAACCACCTAAAACTATACGTTTCTATTTCTTCTAGGTGTCAGCTGCTGATTAGTGTTGTCAAGATACCAGTACAATGAAATTTCATTACTCTCAAAGCAATTTTAATACCACAGCAAAACTAGTTCACTGCTGAAAGCCTTTATTGAAAATGTTAAATGATTATTAATGAATTTAAGGATAAAATTATTTTATTTTTTCTTCAGGTAATTATGTACATAGACGAAAGTCAGTAATAATGAAATAATTTGCAAGCAATGAACTGAACAAACATGCAAATTAGGTGAATTGTGCTTCAGGTGTCTAATTGCATACATTCAGAAAATGAAAAACAAAAGTGAGTATAAAATAAAGCTTTTTAAATGATTGGCATTACCTTCACTGTGTTAATATAGGTAATACACCATTGTTGCATTCATTTAATAAAAAAATAGTCAGAACAATATTGTGAACCATTTCAATTTAAAATAAATGTTGTTTTCTATTGTAATATTTTAAATGTAATTCATTCCTGTAATGGCAGGAAAAAGCTGAATTTTGTCACACGTCACATGGTTCTTCAGAAATTGTTCTAATGTACTGAATTTGTGCTTCTTAATATTATTGTTGAAAGCAATTGTTTTGTTTTTGTAGAAACCCCGATATATAAGGATTCTTTGATGAACAGAAAGCACAAAAGAACAGCATTTATTTGAAATAGAAATCTTTTGCCTTTAAAAAGGCCTTTACTGTCACTTTTGAGCAATTTAATGCATCCTTGCTAAATAAAAGTAATAATTTCTTTCAAACAAAAATCCAAAACAAAACAACACACGCACAGCGCTGACTGACTCTGATAACGGCCGGGTGTTCTCCAAGTCCGATCGACTCGGGTATTACACACAATGTTAAACAGGCCCGGGACCCGAAGTAATAGATTGGGTCCCGACCCGGACCCGGCTGACCATTTCAAATATAGCCCCGAACCCGTACGGATCCCGGGTCGGGTCCTTGGGTCTCGGGTCCTCCATGTAGACCTCTACTACAGAGGCCCAGCCTGCCTCCACAGTTCTCAGAGTCAAGGGGAGTGGGCCAGAAATGTGCATTCATCTGCTGTTGTATGACATGGAAGTCTGTGCCCTGTTGGACAGTGGGGCCAAGGGAGCGTTACCTTGGCTCTTTTATGAAACCATCAAGGCTGATGTAAGACCCCCACTCAAGCTATCCACTGTACAGGCCCTGCAGGGAATAAGCCCTATAAATGTCAATGTTCTCTGGGAAGTTGATGTTCCAGTGCAAGTTGAAACCCAAACAGTCAGTGTTAATTTAATTGTAGCAGATGTAGCTGAGGGCACCAAGGCCATTTTGGGGCATCCATTCTTGGAGCAGGCACGGGCACGCCTTGACTTTGGCATTCAGAAGATTGTATTGTTCGGTGAGCAGATTCCATACTTTAATCCAAAGAAAAAGCCCAGGGTGCACGTGGTCCACATAGCACGCACAGCTGTCCTTGAGGAGGGATGCGAATACATCGTTCCAGGCAATGCACATTTTCGGGAGAAAGTACAGGGCAACGTGCTGCTGAGTCCGACTAAAGGCTTCATTGAGAAGCATCAGGTGATGATGGCACGGATTATAATTGGTGCTCAGCCAAGTAATCGAGTTCCCGTTACACTGTATAACCCAGACACTGTTGCTGTGAAGGTGAGAAAGGGTGTAATTGCCGGAATCCTCCAGCCAGCCGATGTGGTTCAGGCCTCCACCACAGAGCTGCCCCCAGCGGATTCATGTCCCGCAGTTGTCCCAAGTAACTTACAGTCACTGTATGCAAAGAGTACAAGGGATCTGAGGGAGGCAGAACAGCGTGAGCTTGCGGAGCTGCTTCGTGCTTACGGTGATGTTTCCTCCACTGGACCGACAGACC